AAGCGCCAGCAGCGACAGCGACCCAAGGCCCAGGTGCCTTTCTGGCGATGCTGATCAAAAAGTGAGACCTGTTCTAGGTCCCCCAGTAGTGCCCTTTTACCCTTTGTTGGGGGAGGGTTCCCCTACTAAAATAGACTACAGAAAAAAGGGGTTCCCTTATTCTATCCTCTCTACTGGAGGACCTAGCATTGTTCTTCCATTCCTGTCCATTCCTGGCTGGACGTGTCCATGGCCATCCCATTGCCGTTGGTGTTTGCCAAAGGCACCTGTGTCTCAGCTGTCTCACGGGCCATTTCAACCAGGCAGAATAAAGACAATTTGGGGGAGGTAAAACCAGCTCAATTATGAAGGTCTTGGATGTTCAATCAACTTAGTAGGTCATAACCATGGCTATATAACTTTGGTAGATAGCCTGCTTGCTAAGTTGGTTGAACATCAAAGTTGGGGCAGGCGTGTTGATATTCGACCGCGGTGTTTTTGCACGTTTCTGCTTTTTTGTTCCTGCACTGTGGTGTTGGTGGGGGGGGTTGGGGGGGGGGGGTTGGGGGGGATGGTAGCGACAACCCCCAGGGGCACCGCTCCACCGCAGTCGTGCTCACTGCTTCATGTTGCTTGGCTTGCTGACCCCTGTTACTTGGACTCCCACATTGACGTGCTTGCTCCGAGCCCTTTGCCTGCTTTTCTTCGCTTCACCTTTTCCTTCTCTTGTCGGGCCCTTCTCTTCGATCCCACGAGTCTGCCTCTCCTCGCCTGGTTCTCTCTTCCAGGTCCTCAGACGTGCTGTCCCATTTGCTCCACTTGAGCAGCGTTTTTTTTTTACCCGCAAGCTAATTTAGTGGGGAGAGGGACATTCTTATTGAAACTGTGCAAGCAAGTTTGTAGGGAATAAAAACCCATCCGCTCCACGTGCGCGACAAAAATTGGACGCAGCCGGTGCTTCAGCAAAAACTGGGGCCGGAGGAAGGAAGCCGATGGCGCGAAGTCTCCGCCCCTGGGCGCTGAAAAGCATCACGTCTTCTTTGGACGCGACAAGAATCGGACGCAAAGTGAAGCGCAGGAAGGTGCCCGGCGTCACAGAAACTCGGTGCATAGACCACTGGCAATCTCTTCAGGACTTTTTGCCCTCTGGGCATAGCACGGCAGGGCGTGATCAAGGCGTCAACCCTCGACTTGCGCAGTACATGTTTAGTTTTGCTTGGCGAAAAAAGAAAGAAAAAAGAAACGATGCAAGATTGCGATCTGACAAAGGAGCTGGCATGTATCGCCTGAAAGGTGTGAACTTGTGACAAGCGACTTTTCCACTTTTAAGCCCTTCTTAGACCCAAAGGTAGAAAACGCCGCAAAAACCAGGGCGCCGGAAGAGTCGAATCCACGAAGCCACTTCTTACCTTTCAGAATACAACACGTGACCAATTTGGGCTTCCCCACGCTTTCAAATCTGTAAGACCCAGGCGAAACAGCCAGCTTTTGATAGAATAGGGATGATTTTTCAAGAGTGGGAGATGTACACCTGAAGGTCCCTTGGAAGTTCCTTTAATCTGCCTCGATATCATCTGCACCGCGCAGGGGTGTCACCGATGCCGATTTCGGGCACTGAGAGCAGTCCCAAGTTTGTTGGGGCGCCGGGCTCAAACATGAAGATGAACAGTTCAGCTTCGGCACTATAGCCATCGAGGAGTGTTGATGCGTGTCATGTGTTAGCAACGCGTTTTGGCAAGGCCTTCCTTCTGGTTCGTCACGTCCGTGAGCTTGGGCGAATAGTGCCCCCGCATCAATCAGGGGCTGTTCGGATGTAGTGAAGGTTTGCCTCAATGGCACGTCTGTGTCAATCCGGGGGTTGATTATGGGTCAAACGGCGTAAAAGAGACCCTGTTGAAACTGCAAAAAGGGAAGACACAGCTGACTGAGATGGGTCCGCCTAGTTTTGATATATGGGTTGTGCAGTTGTGCCCATGACCAACAGACCGGTCCCTAATTGAAACTCGCCATAGGCGTCGCATCTTCCGTTACCCGACGCAGCGAAATTCCTTCAAAGGGCGTGAAACCGTGAACATTATCAGGCAGGGGCTGCCTCGAAAGTAGGCTCATCTACATGTGCGTTTTGTTGGCATGTTGACCTTGTGATAATTAGTTGGTTTTCCCGTTGTTCAAACCCGACCTTTTAACCTTTTGGTTTTCCCACTTTGGTCCCTATGTAGTCATGTCCCAAAAGTTTAACCTTTTATTTCTGGGTCCTTTGGGCAACTGGGTCCAGGAATGTGTTTCCAAAAGGCAGCCCACAAAGATGTCGCCTTCTGAACCGATACCGCAAGTCACATAAATCAGCTTCTCCCCAATTGGTGGTTTGAAGAGTCTGCTTCCTGTAGAGGGTAAATGTGCTCCGTAACCACAGAAGCACTGGGCCCCAAACCACCAATTGGAGTGCTCCCCAAAGCAGCAGCCCAGAGATCGTGGATTTTGGATTCAAGATCTAAATGCAGTTTTTAGATTTCTAAATGCCCAGTTCATCATTAAACATATGCTCATTATACACTGCATTACCCTGGATGTAGCACACGATTGAACATGTGCCAGCGTGGCCCTTCGATTTTCTTGGTCTCAGCTCGGCAGGTCTCAGGCCAAAGTCTCGCAGGCGGTGTCAGAAGTGGGGCGCGTTTTTATGTCAGATCCCACCTGCGAAGTAGAAGCGTTTAAAGACCCAGACCTTCAGACATTTTGCAGATATTCCTTTTGTGCCTGTGAGGTTCCTTTGAAATCAACAAGGGGAAAAATGAGGGCCCTGTTTAATCCATGGCAACTCAGGGTCTGGGACGACAAATGTACAGCTTGACACAACTTTGATAGCTTTGCGCGGATGGCGATGGAAGTCTTGCCATCGCCGATAAAAAAGGAAGTGTCGCGGCCCAATCACATGGCCATGGGTCAAAACGCCGGGTATCCCCCAGCGAACATCCGATTCAATCCCCACTAAAAAAGGTTCTTAAATTGGTGGTGCACCTATCCCAAATTGGTACCATTGGTTTCGAACCATGTTCACATCTTGCGCATGGGCGTCCTTTTAGGGCCAGGTTGGCTGTTTTTAGCCCCACATGACCCACGTAGGTTTGCACCAACATTTGATCCGGGAAACTGCGAGTAAACACAGGGTTGGGCTAAATATGTTAACACCCCCCCTTTAAAGGGAAACCAAGTGGAGGCAGTTTAAACAATACTCATGTATCACATATCATATATATATATATACAGATGTGGTACCATTCATTTCTACACGCATACAGATCCGTTTCCCATAATATATACTCGAAGTATATATATATATGTATATATATATGTATAAATATACTCTATATATATATACACATGTTATATGTGTATTATGTGTAAACAAAGTTCAACCAGGGTGTAACTAGTGCATGGAGTGGTTGAATCGCTCACTTGGGGATCATCTTCAAGACGGGACCTCATGGGCGAACATACTGCGGGCCCCGTGTATATCTAGGTCCCACAGCTAGGTGCCCTTTGACCACCCCGTTTTTGGTTGGGAGGGTTCCCCTACAAAAATAGATTACTCAAAAAATCGGGTACCCTTATTCTATCCTCTCTACTAAAGGACCGTCGGAGGACCTAGAAATTGGATGATTGCCTTGTTCAACTGCTAAGCAGCTCGTATGTTTCAATGTGTATAAAAGGGAAACGGGGGGATGGATCATTTGCTTGTTGCCCCCAGTCCCCCGCAGAAAACAAAAAAGACACAAAGAAGCAACACATGCAGTGAAACCACGTTTGCCCATCCCCAAAACTAGGACTCCTTGCGGAAGTTTTCGTTTTTCGCGAGGCAGCGCTCCTGCAACTGAGGGGGCAATGCCGTTGGTTCAGGAGCACGTGTGTGTGTGTGTGTGTGTGTGTTGTTTGCGGCTAGGCAATGGTTTTCCTTTGTGAAGCGAACTGGGGCACCGGGGCTCCAAATGCCCTTGATATGCACATGAGCAGCATCCGAAGGCACAACAAGGGCCATTTTAGCTACGGGTCAGGCTTGTACACCCCCTACAAAAGTCACTGGGTTCAGGGTCCGGTTGGCAGGTTTTCGATCTGGATGTACCTGTCCCCAGTGGGTGTGAGGTTGCCATCTGTACAAACATCCCCGTGGCAATGCCCCACTTTGATATTTTTCACAAGGCTGCTTCCCCAGCATTCACCATGATTTGCGGCTGTGGCATGGGCTTCAAGCATGGTACATCCCAGAGAGATAACATGACAGAGCTCGTTACGCTCTGTATGTTGAGTACGACCTTGGATAGTGGGAGGTGCCTGAAGAAAATCGCTTTGATTCCATTAAAGCAAACAACCCTGGTTGAAAGATTCCAGTGATGTCATGTACCCTAGAACCCCAGCTCTTGGCAACAAATTGATTGAAAGTACTAGTGAAACGAACAGTTAGCCCTATGCGTGGCAGTACGTATTTCTTGTGCATACCCCTTGGTGCCTAGGTGCCAATCCACTCAATAGAAAAAGGTCCTTTACATGGGATGACCATGGGGAAACCACATTATTTTTCACATAGGAAAGACTCCGAACCGAGGCGGCTTTTGTTTGAAAGATAGATAGATAGCTCTGAGCACCAGCAGGGGATAGGTTGGACAATGGTCTGATCTACGCTACACTGCTCAAGGTCCAAGACGTCCAGGGCCGTCAATGCTGCATTTTCTATGTTGTGAACATCAGGTGGGAGTCTTGCGAGCTATCACGGTCTGAAAGCATTAGCAAGCTATCTTGCAGCATCTTTATCGTCAAAATTGGGGGCCGAACGGAGTATTGATCAAGCCCATTTAGCTGGGTGTGGGTCAAAGTTGAACCACCAGGGGACCGCAGATTTTAGTCCATGTGTTTTTTGGTTCAATTTAACCAGGGCAACCCATTTTGGGTACCTATTTTTGACCCACAGCCATCAAGCCCATTTCCCCAACCTACGCTTGCGCCCCGTTGGGCTCGCCCAGCCTTAGGCTGGCCGCGCAAAACAACTTCCCCTGGCTGATCAGCAACGTCTCGGACAAGGAGCGACGAGACGTACCGATGGACAAGACTTTTTTTTCCGCACCATGGGTGAAACCCTACAAATATTGGTTGACCAACCGCCAATCCCCAACTGCTGCGGATGTTGTCCATCCACGGCATGTATAGATGGGTCTGTCTTTTTTGATCGGCCATTGGGGGGTTCCCCAGTCTGAGACAAACCCACATACATACATACATACATACATACGTACGTACATACATACGTACATAAATACATACATAATATCATATATACATAATAATATATATGTATATATGTATGTTAGGGCCCCCTTCGTACACCTGTTGCATAATTCCTTTGGACTTACAGGTGTTTCCAGATGTGCAGCTGCTGAAGGGCAACATGGCATTCCAAGGGGTCTTCTGCGTTTAGGACACCTCGTGCTGTATTGCCACACCGTAGGCCAACCAAAACCCAGAGAAATTGATGCGGTTTTCTTGGAGTTGTATTGTGGTTTTCAAAGGAATGCAACAAGGATATGCGCCAAGTGTTTTTTTTTTTACGAGTCCTTCCCAGCCATGACGCAACGGAGAGAGCTCAGGGCGAAGCCTTCTGATTCTGAAAACCCCAAAGCTTGGCTTCGTGACTCATTTGGGTACCGGGTTGGTGAGAGGAAAGGGTCGGGAACAAAAAACCCTTCCTGGATCGCCAGTTGCTGTGTTTTTCCATGCACTTTCCCCCAAAAGACAGCAACAGTGACTGAAAACAAGCAGCAACTTGGCTATCCAGGTTGGCTTCAAACAAGCAAAGCTCTTGGGCAACTTGGGGCCCCCCGCTTTTTTTTACTCCCGGCCGGAAATATCGTTTTTTTTGTTGGCCGCAAAGCCCTGCGCTCGCACCAGAAGACGGGCCGCCCGTTGGCAAACGGCATCGTCACGCGCGTCATGGACTTTCACGGTCGCAAGGCGCGCTGGCTGAGACAGGACACGACTTCAGCGCGTTCCCTTTCGGAGCGCCAAAGGTGGGTGTACAGTTTGAACACCTCCAGTTGGGTTCCAAACACCCGCGAAAGTCTCCTATATTCCTCAGCAGTTGAAAGCTGTCCCCTTTTCAGGTGAACTTCCTTAGGCCTAGTGTTTCAAAGGGATAGTTGGAAGCCTGTCGGAAGGGTGTCCGATGGTTGGAAGGGCCCTTTCTGTGAAGAAGAATCTGAAAAGGAAGCAAATTCAAGAGCTAGTTCAGGGGATGACTGAATTCCCCCAATGCTATACTGCCAGTGGCGGTCCAAGAAAGGGACATTGAGGGTTTCTTATGTTGAGAAATAATTTTGCCATACGCCAGGAAGGGCCCTCAGAAGGCAATATGTCCAAACCGGTGGCTTGTCATCAGCGATCAAAAATGCGAATTGAAACTTTCTCGTGTCAAAATGGGATTCCGCGGAAGGATTTTGTGCGCGCAGAAGCTCGCTGAAGCTTTCGCGGATATTAGGCAAAGTTTGCTTTAGCGGAAAGGCCTCGAATGCACATTGCAAACAAGGAGTTATCAGCAGGCAGCATGTCAATTGATTTTCCCAGAAACATAGCTTTCACTCATGCAAGTGGGCACAAGTAAACAAAGCTTGAGTAGCTTCGTTTATTGACTCCACCAACCCAATCAACAACATGCCGCTTTTTGCATGTGCGGAAGCCCTCGCAGCAACACAAGTGCGCAGACGCCAATGCCGCGGAAGCTCGCGGAAGCTCCGCGGCTTCCCGTCCCAAGTCGTGACATCTTGTTCGTTCAACTTTGATTGCTGCTCAATTGTGTGTGTGTGTCTGTACAGGTATACACTATACATATATATATATATATATATGACGCATATATATATAATATGTATATTACCTCAGCTGTTCTTCCCCTGTTGCACAATTGCTGGGCAAGTGTGAAACATAGCAACGCAAAAAGACAAAAACAAACAAAACAATGCTTCTCCGGAAAGAGCTGGCAACTGAAGAAGCTTGCAAATTGGTACACGGTAGAAGGTGTTTGTGAGCGCCTGAGCAATCTTTGGATCTGAGCAAACCTTGTTCTTCCTCGGAAAAGGCGAGGCAGCAACTTGGTCCAAAGTCCGTGGATCATGCGGCGCACCCTGACTTGATGTGGATTAAAGATTGCAACAATTGAGGAAAGAACACCAAAACAAGCAACATCCCAGCTAGTTGCAGCTTTTTTCCAGTTCACCTTGATTGATATCGATGAGTTTTGAACGCCTTAATCTCTCTATGCACGTTTGTAGTAACACTTGGACTAAGTGGAGAATAGGTACAGCCCAGATGGATGGAGATTATCCGGCCGCAGAAGGTTGATGTACTATTATATAAATATATAAATATATATGCATATACCTAGGTCTTCCATTTGGTCACTTTTTGGGGCTCTGAGCATTTCTTTTTGCTCGTTTCAGATTTTGAGCGCGGAGAAAAACAGAAAATGAGCGGAAACCTTGATTTGGCATGTTTTGGCAAAATGAGCGGAAAGAGCGGAAAACGGCGGGAAATGAGCGGACATCGGCAGGACATGAGCGGAAATTTGCGGACACACCACAACAACAATTTTCCAATTGAGCGTTTTCTTTCGAATTGAGCGTTTTTGGATGAAATGAGCGTTATTTTTGCTCGACACGGAAAAATCCAGAAAAAAGTGCCCACGGAAGACCTAGGTATACACATAAAAAAAATGCTATCATACGGAGACAAACAGACAGACACACAGACAGACATACAGACATACAGACATACATGCATACGTGTTGGCAAGGTTCTGCTAAAGCCTGGCTGGCCCCGTCCAAGCGGAAAGCCTGGAGGCTGTGCCACTCTAAGAAGGAACTGTTAGCGAAACAATTAGGATACCGCGCAACCAGAAAATGGGGGGGCGTTCGCATCAGACGCATCGAGACGCCAAGAATGCCACGCTTCGCGAGGTTGGCCTCATCGGCTTGGCGCGGCGGCCCGATCCGGTGCGCAGGTCTTTGTTCCGTTTCTTTTTTTTGTTTTCTTCCGGGCTCAAGGCCAACATATTGCTGTTTGATGGCGATGCCTTAGGCAGCATTCTCACACTCAGGATCCATGAAAACAACACGTGGGTCGGGTACTTGTCCAATCTCCAGTCAAAGTGTTTGGTGACAGGAAAATCTGCAGGAAATGGCCCAAAACACCCTAAACAAGCAGTTTTCCTGTAGAGTTTCCTATAACCCAACCCTTTGATCCAGCCACCGTTTTTTCCCATCCACTGGAATTCTAAGCACCCATTTCTTGACAACCCAAGCGTTCCATTGGAGCCGCCTCTCAGGTGGAGAAGGAGTGGTTGGTCACCCTGGCCACCATCAATCCCAGCGAGGTGGACTACGAGGCTTAGAACCCGAGCCGAGCGCACGTTGCGGGTGACAGTCTTCGGGGTGTGCCTCTTTGGTTTTGAAAGGCATTTCTTACCTCTTGCCCGGGTTGCTTCAACTTGTTTCAGTCCTTTGGGGAGGGTTCCAATTTTTGTTCATTTTTACTGGGGCTACCATACCAAGAGTAGAGATGGTTTCCAGATGTTGAACCTGTTGTTGCTACGTTTTTATCATTTGAAAGGTCTACCTTCCCTCCAACAATCATGGACTCTGACAGCGTTTTGCAAGACCACGACTTTTCTTTGGGGGAAGCCCCTTATCCACTTCCACGATTGTTGGAAAGAGGGTACCGAGGAACGCCCAACTATTCCCCTCCCGGGATACATTCACGGCGTGGTCACATCGCCGCCCCCATGGTCAACTGTGAATAGACGACCTGTACTCATTAGACACGTCGACTCAACGAAAGGATCGATCGCCCTTGATGAGGACGGGGGGGGTGCCGGTTCATGTTGCCAAAACACCCTGCCAAACTTGTGTGCAGACAATCCCCACGCCATTCCGGCGACCAAGCCACTCATGAATCCTGACGATCCTGACCAGGTGCAGACTCGAAAGGAGCAGTGGTTGCCGGTATAGCTAGGTATAGCCCAAATATGTTTGAGGTGAGCTTGGACAAAATGTGACTTGTTGGTCTCCGAATAGCTGACCCCCCAAACAAGAACAATGGCGGCTTTTGGTGAAGCCGAGTTTCCCTTCCAGCGCCGAAAGAATAGTCCGGGCACAAAATCACTTGTTTGTTGAAATTAAAGGGAAACCACCCATGGGGTTCAGACCACAATGAAAACTATGGTTGGGTGCATATAGCATTGTTTACTTAGCAATTGTCATCCAACTTGGGCGCTTAGTACAAAAAAACACTTACCATGGTCAAGAGTCTCCGTTCAGTGGGTCACCACCATTTACAAGTTGCACTGTTCAGGTGTATAATGCATCCGGATCCCTGCCCTCCCCCCAACCTCCCTCCCCCCCAACCTCCCTCCCCAACCTCCCTCCCCCCCCCAACCTCCCTCCCCCCCAACCTCCCTCCCCCCCAACCTCCCTCCCCCCCCAGCCTCCCTCCCCCCCAACCTCCCTCCCCCCCAACCTCCCTCCCCCCCAACCTCCCTCCCCCCCAACCTCCCTCCCCCCCCAACCTCCCTCACCCCCAACCCTCCCTCCCCCCAACCTCCCTCCCCCCAACCTCCCTCCCCTCCCCCCCAACCTCCCTCCCCCCCCTCTCCCCCCCCCCTAACCCCCCCCCCCAACCTCCCTCCCCCAACCCCAACCTCCCTCCCCCAACCTCCCCTCCCCCCCAACCTCTCTCCCCCCCAACCTCCCTCCCCCCAACCTCCCTCACCCCCAGCCTTCCTCCCCCCCAACCTTCCAACCTCCCCCACCTCCCTCCCCCAACCTCCCTCGCCCCCAACCTCCCTCCCCCCAACCTCCCCCCCCAACCTCCTCCCCCCCCCTCCCCCCCCAACCTCCCTCCCCCCCCCCTCCCCTCCCCTCCCAACCTCCTCCCCCCCCTCCCCCCCCCCCCAACCTCCCTCCCCCCCAACCTCCCTCCCCCAACCTCCCTCCCAACCTCCCTCCCCCCCCCCCCCCAACCTCCCTCCCCCCCTCCTCCCCCCCCAACCTCCCTCCCACCCCCAACCTCAACCTCCCCTTTCCAACCTCCCTCCCCCCAACCCCAACCCCCTCCCCCCAACCTCCTCCCCCCCAACCTCCCTCCCCCCCAACCTCCCTCCCCCCAACCGCCCTCCCCCAAACCTCCTCCCCCCAACCTCCCTCCCTCCCCCAACCTCCTCCCCCCCAACCTCTCTCCCCCCCAACCTCCCTCACCCCCAACCTTCCCTCACCCCCCAACCTCCCTCCCCCCCAACCTCCCTCCCCCCAACCTCCCTCCCCCCCAACCTCCCTCCCCCCCAACCTCCCTCCCCCCCAACCTCCCTCCCCCCCAACCTCCTCCCCCCCCCCCCCCAGCCTCCCTCCCCCCCCCCAACCTCCCTCCCCCCCCAGCCTCCCTCCCCCCCAACCTCCCTCCTCCCCCCAACCTCCCTCCCCCCCAACCTCCCTCCCCCCCAACCTCCCTCCCCCCCGACCCCCATGAATAGATTTGGCGTCTCGTCCCAGGACTTCGTTCCCTGCGCCCGACGCCTGGCCAAGCAGCTGAAGGCGACGCCTGGGGCCTTTGAAGCGGATCTCAAGGTCTCTCTCGGCGTCTCGCGGTCTCGCTGAGTTTTCCGGGCGGGCATCTGACTAAAACCGCCCACGCGGTACCCTCAAGACATGACACACCATAAATGTATAATATATATATATATATATATGTATGTGTATATACATATATATATATATATATATATGTGTTATGTATATATCTATATATGGTGTTGCGGGGAAGAATGACAAACCGATTTAGGGACTCTAAAGCGCGCCCTTAAGGTACGGGCAGCTGGGATCTTCTTTTCACGTTTTGTCGTTGCCGTCGCTAATTCAAATCCAACAAGCAAACAGGATGGATGCCTCAGAGATGTTTCTAGGAAGCCAAATGGGCATACTATTTTGTTTGACGCGTGCCCACGAACAACCTCCCCATTGGGCCCCAAAGAACGCCCGACGCATATGGGAGATGTGTCAAAACTTGGTCCTGATCCCTCCATTTGTTGTTTTGCATTTCTTGAAAGTGAACCTTTGCTAGATTCGAGGTTCTCTCTCAGCTGCTTTCCAGGGCATTCTTCTGCATCATTTTGGACCAGAATGGAGTCAGCCGCGCAGATTTGAAGTCTTTGAAGCTCCTCGACAAGCCTTGGTGGCCGACTTCTGTCAGTTGGAAGAAAAGTGGTGGGTCATTGCACCTAATCCATGAGGCGGATCACAGGTAAATCTGAGGCATGATGGGAATTTGCCCAGATAGATGGATTTGTTTGAGTTTGGTTCGAACTGATCATTTGCCAGCGAAAGCCATTTTCCAAAGGACGCCGTTCGAACGGCCCCACCAGGTGTTGTTTTTGGGGTGGCTGGAGCCAGCAGAGAAACAATAGGCAAATGGAAGGCCCATCGGGTCGCGCCTGCGTCAACCAAGAATATGTGGACGGTAGCAGAGGGAAGCGGGAGTTGGTTGGGCATCTGCCAGAACTTGAGCGCCTATTCAACACGACCTTTTCTGCGGATCGCAATTCCTTTTGGCACGCACTTCATGTGAGGCTCAGTGATTGGTCGCATCCGGTCGGGCTGCTCTGGCATGTTAAGCGGACTCCCAGAAACATATAAAGAACAAGTCACTGTTTTTGTTTTCCTTCTGTCAATTATCATCGAAACACAAATCCACATTTGTTTTTCGATCTACAAATTCCCCCCCCCTCAAAAGTAGGTTTCCTTTTGCGCCATTTCCACAGGCTTACCCGTTTTTTTTTGGGGGGGGGCCACAGATGCTTTTTTCCCCCTGCCCAGCTCGCTTTGGGTCGCGGGTCCCTTAGTTCGAGCTCGCCAGGAGCAAGAGCGCCAGGGAGCTCAGCGTGAGACAAAAGTCCACTCGGCCCATGGCAGCCTTGCCTTCTGCCAAGGGATCTTAGGACTTTTTTTCACTTTTCGCCCATGAATTTCTGGGGCTTTCCGTAGTAAACCACCAAAAGTTTTTAACTTTTTCTGCAGGGCTTCGCAGATTTCGCCACCGAGCAGCGCTTTCGCGGATCGAGGGCTTTTTTTTTTCCCATGAGGCGCCCTGGAAAGCCAAGCCCCGAGGTGTGCAGTACACGAAAAAGAGAGGTGACTCTCTTCCAAGCGGTTGATTCCTTTTCCCATTCTTTTCAACCATCGTGCTTTTAAAAGCCGAGGGCTGGTTTTTTATGGGGGTCCTGATGGATCCCTGGAAAGAATGGAAATGGAAGTGTCCCCTAGAGTGAAGCTCATTTCGGCGCAAAGAATGGACCTTCTTGTTATCATATAGGTCTCCTTTTGGTTGGTTTGGTTAGAAAAATAGAGGGCCCTGGTTTACCTGGTGGTTGAATCATCTACCAGGGCCATCTATTTTCCAAAACGGACAGCTATGCTTGGTATGAGTCACTGACAAATCGGTCTATTTTGCGGGGAGTGCTGGCATCAAAAGTCTACTTGTTTTGTTGCATTTTGGAACATTGGGCCAAACATCTCAACGTCGCCTTCACGCAAAAACATGTACGTTCTCGAGTAGCATCACCAGTTGTGAAGGTTGAGAGTGCTGAATTCGATTCGTTCTGGCCACTCCAAGCATTTTCCAACCCCTTTTAAGTCAGAGCCGTTTTATTTTGTTTAATTTGCACTCTCCCCGCGAAAACATGGGGTTGAATCAGCCACGATAGGGTTGAATCGGCGAATCAGAGAAGACTCCCTGCAGGTCAGGATGAGGCGAAATGGGTGGATGGCATGCCAAGCGTTGAAACGCCACCCGAAAACGATTGAAACGCCACAAAAGGTCCAGAACTGGGGGAAGTTATTTTCACGGTTTCTGGGGGTTATCAATCTGAGAAACTGGGCTGGGTTGCCTTCAACCTACTAGTTAGAGGGTGACTTTAATAATGTTAAACCAATGGTGCAGAAAAAAGGAAGCTGGAAGATAATTCTTCAACTCTTTTCAAGAGTTCGGGCAAAAGGTCCGAGTCGCCTTCAAGGTCGTCGCTGTGTCCATGCTGTTTTTTTCAATTTGCTTCGCCCAGGCGCGGAGATTGTCATCGCCCTGACGCACATGCTCGGAGCTGAGCGTGGTTTTCTTCCAGTGCCTGGTCCCTTTCAAAGGGAACCAAAAGGAGGTTTGAAGACTATGCTAGGTCCCCCAGTAGTGCCCTTTCTCACCGTTTCTTTTTTGGGGGAGGGTTCCCCTACTAAAATAGACTGCGGAAAAAAAGGTACCCTTATTCTAATCTCTCCACTGGAGGACCTAGTATGGGTGCGACTATGCTGGTAAGGTGATGTTGTTTTTGCGGCATGTGCAACTGGGCGGCCACCAGGCTTTCAGGGAAGAGTTTGGGACAGAAACGCCGTGTGACATGGCTCAAGAACCTGAACAATGCACCTGAGTCCCAAATCTCAAATCGACCCGCTGTTGATTTCTGTTGGCTGGTCGCTCTTGTTCTGTCAATCCAGGACCTGGAGAATGGAAGGTTAGAAGAATCACTTTCCTTCCATGAGTGGTGAACCGGGGGTTCAAGAGTAGTGGCAAGGCAAAGGCAGGCTTACCGGTGTCTCCTTCAACCCCCAGACAGATTTTGTGAAATGTTCTTTGTCCGCACCCCGATTCATTAGTACAAGTGGACCTGCTCTTGGTGACTCGCAGGTTCTTAACCACCAGTTGGCTGGTTCAGTTTGGGTCACAACTCATTCCCTCAGTCGGGTGAGGGGCCTGTTGGATATTCCAGCCTACTTGCCCAAGTGGATGTTTCTCAAAACTGGGTACAATTGCAGGTAGGTAGGTGTCCTGTTGGTTTCCCTTTAAAACCGTCCACAAAGGAGTCCCCTATCGTGCGACACGCCCAAATGAAGGAATTTGGACCACTTGTTGCCAACCTACGGGCATAGGCAGAAGCGCGGAACAAATTTTGGAGCCTCCGGCCACGCACAGGCGTGTGCCCAACGACGAACTCCTTGCGCATGAGGCGAGCTTTCTGTGAGCGCTGACGTCCCAGACATCCAGTGGGGCATTTTAGTTGTCCCTTGATTTGTTTGGGAAGGTCACTGGAGGTCTGGGTAACTGGCTCATTTGCTCGTCCACTGCTCTAGCACTCCCTTGTTGGACTCTGTGGATGTTTGCCATCACCCACTTGCTGGTCAGGGTGAAGCCACCCAAGCCCAAATCAAAGTGGTTCGTTTGTCAAGAGCTGATCAAAATAGGGCACAACAGCTCAGGGCACCCAAAACGGGTTCTAAGATGCGGATTCCAGCTTGCACCAAAGGACCACCATATTGTAGCATCCTCAACTCCATTTGTCAGAAGCCATTTAGTGTCACCCACAGAATGCTGATTAAAACAAACACAGATCTGCATGTACGCCTCTTGGCTAGATTTTGGGGCTTGCTTCAACTGTTAGACCAAGCCAGCTCTATTCAAGTTATTTTGATCCAGACACGCTGGGCAACCTTTAGTTGGCGGTTTGGATTGGTGGTTTCGGGATGTGAACCCCTGGCTCTTGTAGAGAGTTAAATGGCAAGCAACCCCCAACCTCCAAACCACCAATTAGAGGAAAGCTGAGCATAGACAAAATATGCATGAAGTATCAGCACTATGTTAAATGAATGACATCGCCATTTGTTAATTGACTTCGGCTGGTTGGAGGATGGGTGGGTGGGTGGGTGGGTGGGTGGGTGGGTGGGTGGGTGGGTGGGTGGGTGGGTGGGTGGGTGGGTGGGTGGGTGGGTGGGTGGGTGGGTGGGTGGGTGGGTGGGTGGGTGGGGGGTGGGTGGGTGGGTGGGTGGGGGTGGGTGGGTGGGTGGGTGGGTGGGTGGGTGGGTGGGTGGGGTGGTGGTGGGTGGGTGGGTGGGGTGGGGTGGGGTGGGGTGGGGTGGGGTGGGGTGGGTGGGTGGGGTGGGGTGGGTGGGTGGGTGGGTGGGTGGGTGGGTGGGTGGGTGGGTGGGTGGGTGGGTGGGTGGGTGGGTGGGTGGGTGGGTGGGTGGGTGGGTGGGTGGGTGGGTTTGTTTGTCAGTGTCGTTGTTTGCTGCTGCTGCTGCTGCTGCTGCTGCTGCTGCTGCTGCTGCTGCTGCTGCTGCTGCTGCTGCTGCTGCTGCGGGTGTTTTCTGAGCTTCTTTAGCAGATATCCTTTCTTGCATTTTCCTGTTTGGATCAACTTGACATTGCTTTTTGGTCTAGTTTGATATCAGTTTCATGATGGCATGATGTTTCAAGCGGAAGCCCTGTTTTCTTTTCAATCGCACGCCCAACGCAACCCAACCTTTTACCTCAGGTAAAACAATAGCAGCAACTTTGAACTTTGTTCCGCCAATCGGAAAAAAAGAAGTGAGAAGGGCATCCAGCGCCCCTTTCGGGTCCTTGTTTCTGGGGTAGACTTAGGTTACCAAAGGCTCAAAGGGAAGCAAGCAAGTAAATATACATTCTATAACTGGGCCTAAGTCTAATCGCGGTTTGTTTCCGTATTGCTGGATTTAGCTTGTTCCACTCAACCCACCAAAAGTTAAACTTTTAGCGGGGGATCTGAGGGCAGCCCAGGTTGGTTTTTGCGTGTTGCGCGAAAGGCTAACCGGCAACCGTTTTGAGCAGGTCCCCGAGGTGGACATCATCTTGGGCGGCCACGACCATCACTACGACGTGAAGCCGGCCGCCTTGCCCAGAGCTGTTAAATTTTAAAAAAGAGAAGAAAGAGGGGCCTGAAGCCAGTAAAACTTCCATTTGCTTAAGACCATGTTTTATGTTCCCCTGTTGGTTTTGAAGGGAATCTATCACTACTGGAAATATATCTGACTTTTTCCAGGGGGTCTTAACCAAATGGAAGAAAAGGGATGCGGACACACCCTTTGCAGCAAGCCAAAAGAGAATCACGCACACCCACGAGCTTTGGACGTTCAACCTTGGTGGTTTTCTCTAGGAAGCGAAAACGGGCCATGGTCAGAAAATCAAAGTGTCATGAGACTTGGAAGCCAAAAGCCTCGACAAGCGCTTGCGAGTTCATTCGGGCCAGCAGTTCTGGGTCTGCAGGGCTTCCGTTTGAGCCCTTAGACTTAAGCAGGGGGTTTCTTGTTGGGTACAAAGGGGTTAAGTAGAAAAACATATGGGTGTGGCTCAAAACTGAAGAGCTGAGGTTTCTGCCATTTACCAGGGTTCCAGTTTCGGTACCCATCTTTGACCCACAGCCATATGGGTAAGGGTCCCGTTTACACAGGGCTCTCAAAATGTGGGACCCATGGTGGTTTCGTTTCTTTCCCTTCATCCTTGTAAAGGCGACCTGAACCCTCCAAATTCCCTGAACATGGGTCATTTTTCCTCAACATGGGGTGAGCTCCCTTTTTTATAGGTAGTTCTTTCGGGTCCAGGTAGTGTCAAAAAAGGGATACCCAGTGCCCTTCCCCGTGGTTGAACTCCACCGCAAGGTCGGACCACATGGCACCTTCGCCTGAGCCTCAGAAAAAACGCTTCCGGTTCGGGCTCGAAAGGCCGTGGTTTGCCCCAAGGTCTTTTAGAGCTGAACCCCTTTTTCGTTGGTTTTAAAAAGGAAGCCAATTTCAACCTCATTTTGGGGCTCCCCTAAACAAACAAGACCCCCCCATTTCTGCCTAAAAACTTGCATGAGTCAGCCTCCTGTTCTGCCCAGCCTCCCTTTCGAACGGGTTGGTGAAGGACCATGATTCATCCCAGGCAAATCCATATGCAGCGGGGTTGGGTTCTTCCCAAGTGGTCAGGCCGAGGAAAAGCGGACTGGGATTAACAAATAAAAACGTGTTTATCTAAGGAGGGTTCGCAGGTTCGAGTTGGTCTGTTCGAACCTGGAGTCTCCATGACCCTTAAAAAATGGGGTCATGAACCCATTATTTAGGGTAGTGACCCCATTTTTAAAGGGTCATGGAGACTCCAGGAACTGAGTCGTTGGTAAATTGTTCTCTGCAGACTACCCCCGACCTCCGACCTTTCGAGTCCCCGCCAAGCCAACTCACCACAGGGGCACCTGATGGTTTTTCTTCGTCCCTCAAAACCCAAGAGGACCAACTCCAGGGTAAGATGGCCAAGCTCACCCAAAGACTAGTGAATGCCAGTGAAAGCCCCTAAAGCAAATTTCATAAAGTCTGCTTGCACCCCGGCTTCGTTTTCCGTCCTTCTGAAGCCGGGGAAGGTACCCCCCCTTCAACAACCAAACCAAACCAAACCAAACCAAACCAAACCAAACCAAACCAAACCACCAAGAGGTAAGGTGAAAACAGCCCAATTGTTTTGCTTTGAAATGAGTCAGCGCCCCAACCTTTTGATTGGTGAATTCTCTCTTTTTGATCGGTCTTTCTGGTCCAGGGACACCAACAGGAAAACGAACCAATCTCGGAGTTCCGATTCGTTGGGCTAGGGTTCCTTGGCCCCAACAGAACGGCAACTTGGGGACCCAATTTGGATGACGATTCCGAACGATAAACAATGCCGGTGTCAATTTTCGGGTAGCTTTCAATTTTTGGGTAATTAGCTGAACCCCAGGCTTCATGAATAGCGGGAAATATATGAATTCTCGCTCCCAACCATGGTCTTTGTGTTTTTTTGGTAACTGAACCCCAGGATCAAAGAATCGTGGGGTCAGAATGCAGGGCTCCTTAAAAGATCTCCATGTTGCAACCATTTGAAACATGTTGCTTTTTCAACACCAAGATAAAGTTGGAACCCACCATTTACAAGTTGCAATGTTCAGGTGTTTTTCATGCATAAGGATCCCTGTAATGTTTAGTTCTTTCCCCAACCAATTCTCGGGTTCCAAGACATGTGCTACAAAGCACTGGTATTTACAGTGTTTTTAGCCTAGGTGTGGATCTTGGGGGGGGGTGACCATACATATATATATATATATACATTTTACTCTGCTTCAAAAGATGGTTTGAACCCGAGGGTTCAAGAATAGCCGGCGACCCATGGGTTTTTTTCGCCCAGCGACCCGTGGGTTTTCGTGGGTGCCCAGCGACCCCCTCGCCCCCAACCCCCCCCCCACCCCGCCGGGGGTTTCCCGAGCGAGTCAGACTCGGACGGGAGGTCTTGAAGAGCGGCACGGACTTCAGGGACATCACCGCCCAAGCCTCGGATCCCCATCGACGCCATGTGGTGAAAACCGTTTCGGGGGTCCCATTTTGGGGTTTCTGGGAGTCCGGCAAGTTCTTTTTGGGCAAATATGGCCATGGTTCAAAACCAATGGGGGTCCCATTTTGGGGTTTTCGGTGCACCACCCATTTTAAGACCCTTTTTTAGTAGGGATTGAATCGGAGGTTCACGGGTGTGGGCTTTTGACCCATGGCCATTTGGTGCGGTCGCTGAAAACGTAGGCAGACGGGGGGTGTTCCTAAGCCTTAAAACGTTGATTGTCTGAAAGTAAGATGTCATTTATATAAATATATATGTTCCCTGGTTTGCTTGAAAGAGAATCGATTCTGGCAAACATGTTCAATCCCTTTTTGGTTTCAAAGGGAATCGGTTTCAACACTGGACATATTTTCTGAATTTGCCCAGCGGGCGAAAATGCAAATGGAGGTGACTCTTTCGTGCAGAAGACAGTTCTAGCGAGGTTTCTCTGTTTGTACACATTGCACCTGGGACTGCGAAGTCTTGTGAGCTTCCTTGAGCTTAGGGTTGGTTGGGCCCGGTCCGGTGAACAGACAACGTGGCTCCTCATTTGCCACGGAGACGCCCGCAAATTCCCGGAAACGCCTAAGCAAGGAACAACGCCCGCAAATGACCCTCAAAAAGCCGCACACCGCCCGCAAAAATCCGCACAAAAGCGCACATCCTAAATCGCCAAAAACTACTTAAATCGTGCGGGAAAAAGTACGCAGAGGAATGCCCAGGTATATTAACAGGTCACATTTTTGTTTACTGTTTGTAAGGGCAATAAACCTTTTGAAGTTGAAGCTGATCTTGTTTTCAACTTGTGAGGGTTGACAGTTGTTCTATTCATACATCCGGAAATGCAGTTGTTTAAAGCTGAGTTTGGTTTGATCTCGAACCAGCATTTTGCTTGGGTGTTCTTCCCATATGCGATGTTTAATAAACGTGATTTACCGTATTCTAGAAATCAAGCTAGGTAAACAGCGCATATGTCCACATGCTACCTTAGCAAAGTTGAATTAGAATGCAGATGGAACTGCGGAAGGACAGGGAGCACCTTTGTAAATGATTTGGATTTCGGCTTCAAATGGCAAATTTCGATAGGAATGAAATCATAATTCCAAGAGTGAAGGCTTGCTGCTTTTCCCTGCAACACGAGAAGAGTACAACACGATTACGGAGATGTTCTAGGCGCGTTGATGTGTTTTTTGCAGCTGGAGCTGCCAATTGCTCACTACAAGTGGATAAGATTCAAGGTGTTGGAAAAATGCGTGGGGCATGTTGCACCCTAGTTGCCTGACGACAAACTTATGCGGAATCTACAATATCAAAATACTGAATGTTCCGCGCCCTACGGCTGTGATGCTATCAGCCCCCAAATGCCGCTACGCCAACTAGGCCAGGAAATAGAGCGTGGACTGTCCGGGGGACCCTGGACAACTTACGCAACATCTATAAAAAAACAAAGCTGTGGCCGGGAAAACTGGGAAAAACTAGAAAGAAATGCTGCTGGGAAAAAAGACTGGCCAGAAAAACCCCGAAAGCATTGGCAGGAGTCGGAAAAGCGTGGAAAAACTGGCCGGACGCATTTGGAGAAGCGAAAAAAACTCGGAAACACTTGGCGGAAGAGTGGGAAAGGAAAAACATGGACAGACTGGTGGGGGCAAAGTTGGTTCAATTGCTGGGTGGGGATGGTTCGAAGTGGAAGTTGTTTTTATGTCCCAGAGGCCCGAAAAAAGGCTGATGTACTGCAATACCAGTCAAAGATTGTTTTTTTACACGGGTACCAAGGATATATAGAAGTTTATACATATATATATATATATATTGGTTGATTTGTTCATTGCTCTTTTTTGTGTATTTAGTTATGCATAATTCTATTTGATGTGTAGCAATCTTATCATTCTGTGCATATAACGTTTTCGCCGCTCGAATCAGCTGCTGCGTCGCAAAGGTCCTGCAGCTGGAGTTCACAGATGGCGCCTCCAAGCCCTTCCAGGCCGGGTTTTTCTTGTCTAGGTCCCCACCTAGGTGTTTCTTCTCACCCATTTTTTGGGGGAGGGTTCCCCTACTAAAATTGACTACAGAATAAATCGGGTACCAGCTTATTCTAACCTCTCCACTGGAGGACCTTGTGGTTTTCAGGGCACATTTCCCTACGAATCATCCAATTGGTGGTTTCCTGTCAGGAGGTGCCTTGGGTCATTCCCACAGTTCAAGGCGACTCCCTAGGAACCAACCACTTTCTTGTTTGGGTGTGGCGTGTGGTGAGAAAGTCCTTTTGCTACAAAAACTGATGTTTAACAAACCAACGATTTTCCGAAATCAGCATTGGCGACTCTAATGCAAAACCACAGTAGATCCGTCACAAAAGGAACTGTGGTGGATGCATTAAATGTGGCAAGTATACCCACCATACTCAACCACAACACCATACCAATGCATGGCAAGGCAAATTAGAGGATGAGTTTTTCTCCAACTTGCAACATTTAGGGCACCCTCCGTATGTATGACAAGCGTCCAGAAGTTTGGTTGGATAACCTTGGGTAGCGCGACCTGCCCCGCAAGCCAACACCAATGCCATTCATACTGTAGCAGCGCAGCTACCTAGTTCAGCTGTGCTATGTGAATGCAGATTGTCAAGGCTACCATCCCCTGATCAACACCAACACGTTCCATTTGTCACGGTCATAGCAGGTTGATAGGCATGGTCACCAACCACTTGTAAGGAATTCAGACAACCGTTGCAAGGGTCCCTACAAACCATGATCAGAACCCACAGTACTTTGGACCGTGGCACACTTGGCCCGTTTGCCAATTGGAGGAAAATAAAGGGACCCACCAAAAGTGTGGAAGCCCTGGATGAGTTCTTGGGGGGGTTGTAAGAGTATCTAGAAGGTGGCCGCAAAAGCTGTATCCGATCCTCTGCATCCCTTCAAACTGTTGCGACCCCAGTTGAAAGTGATCTTCCCAGTTTCACCAAAGCGTATTCAACAATTGGGGCCTGAGAAGCGGGCAAGGAGTTGTGTGTGTGTGTGTGTCTATCCGGGCTTGCAATATCCAGACAACTCAGCATTTCCAGGTAAACCTTGCCCATGCATGATTCACGGTGTCGATGAGTTCAATCGGGCGGACTGTTCTCACCATCAGCCTCTCCAGTAAGTACTGAAAACCAACATCATGCTGCCCGGTCTATCACATGCACTGCAGGCAGACCCCCACCCCTCTCAACATTTACGGGCCTGAACAACAACAAACAAAGCCAAACGAGGCCAAATATTCGGCCAAACAACAAACAAAGCCAAAATTGAGGCCAACAAAGCCAGCAAACAAGTCAACATAAAGCCACATAGAGCCAAACAGAGCCAAAGATAGAGCCAACATACCTGGAGTCTCCATGACCCTTCAAAAATGGGGTCATTGCCCTAAATCGGGTCATGACCAACCATCTTTAAGCAAAAGAAGGCCTAAGGCCCGGCCAGTCCCTGACTTTTTTTGCGGGTTGTCGACAGGTTACGGAGCACCACCACGTGGAGGTGGACAGCAAGATAGCGGAGGTGTGGTTTCTGACTGGAGTGCCCGTGCCGGTGTTCCTGAGGTAGACTTTGGATACATTTTACATTTGACCAGTGACTCAACGTGAAGCTAAGAACCAAATAGGCATTCTAGAACTGGGCCTAACTCTAATCATGGTTTGTGATGCAGGCCGTGGTAGAGGGGCTCCTGACCGATGTAAGATTGGTGTGTGTATCCTTCTCAAGGGACTCTTACTGCAATTCACGGTGCATTTTCTCTCGAGCCTTCAACGAAGAACACATTCTAATTATTTGGGCCCTTACACTATTGACTATAGGAGGTTGCCCTGAAAGCCCTAGTTGCCATACTCTGGAAGCACTGGGACAGGCTGTATGTTAGCAACCACTATTCTTGAACCCTGGGTTCAAACCATCTTTTAAAGCGTGGTTAAAATCATATTTCACCACCATTGTTTGCCCCATCATCTCACTGGGGTCCCCAAGTTGCCATTATTTTAACGGGGGTGAGGAACGGAACCCCAGGCTTCCCAAGACACCTTCCATTTGCTTAGCTTAAGCCCCCTGGAAAAAATGAGAAAATATGTCCAGTAGTGATAGGTTCCCTTCAAAACCGACACGGGCTGGGTTTGGGTTCCATTAAACCTCATCATGAGAGTAATCGTTGTACTTAGTCAGCCCCCAATTTTACTTGTTGTTACCCCGAAATTCCTAGTGACCAACCCACTTTGCTTTAATTATCTACATCTGGCAGCGGGCACCTTCAGTCCGTTTTGTGGTCTATCGGTGTTGTAGCTTGATAGGTATTGGCGTTAGGTCCCTATCCATTTCTGGCGGTAACACACTCTGTATTTATTGTACAATTGATCAGCGAAAAGGCCGGGTGGAAACATGTTCTTGGGTAAACACAGCAGATCGGTGGTTGAGACACAAACACATGCAGCGATGGAAAACGAGGTGAACAAGTCCAAACGATAGGCACCAAAATGGACCACACATAGTGTGAAAGCAACCACATTCAGCTGCTAAATTGAACACAAAGAGGTAGGACCAACCACATCCAGCTGCTAAATGAGGTAAATTAACACATCCACCACTTCTAACCACTTCCAACCAGACCCTTCTTGATCTGCTTTGAAGGTTCAAGGCATCCCTATCGCCATGTGTGTGACAAACCCCAAGCAGCCCTTGGTGAGGAAGTCGCTCATGTTTTTCGTGATGGTCGGTTTGGTTTGGTTTGGTTTGGTTTGGTTCGGTTCGGTTCGGTTTGGTTTGGTTTGGTTTGTTGGTTGGTTGGTTGGTTTGTTGGTTTGTTGGTTGGTTGGTTTGATAATTTTGGTTTGGTTTGGCTTAGTTTGATTTGGTTTAGTTTAGTTTGGTTGGTGGGTTATTTCCATTTTGAGTATATAGTCATTAGCCCCACTTTCTCAAACACTTGTAGCTCCACTCGCCCAGTACTTCCAGTTCCCTCAATGGGTATCACGTAAAACCTGATGGTAACCGGCGAAAAAAGGCTGGGGCCTGCGAAGCCGAAAAGCCCGGCTATGATCATTCACACTATCATGACATGGAGTAATCCTCTGACTTGCTGCATCCTCGCTTCTGGCTCAAGGGCCGCGCGAGCGTGCCGCGCGAGTTGTACGTTGTCGTTTCGCAGTTTAGTCGGTTTCTCACTCGGCATTCGGTCGGTCGGGCCGTGACACAGTGGACACCCAAGCGGCCCTTGCCAAGCTTGGCGTTTGCCAGCGCGCTTCTCGCCCCTGTTCTCGGCAACTTTGGCCTGTCGATTTTAGCAGGCTGATTTCCTTGCGCCCGCCATGGGGGTTTTGAACTCGGAAGAGCAGGACGGGAGTGACTGCCACAATGACGTCTTTGGATGATGCAAGTGCAAGGGAGTTTGGTCAGGTGGTCAGATATTGTGGGTGCCTAAGGAAAGGTGCATTATCTAATTGTATCTTTCTTCGTTCTGGCTGGCTGGCTGGCTATTTGGCCGTTGTTCGATATTTGTGTTTACAAACAGTTTTGTGTGTGTGTGTGTGTGTGTGCTACTGTTGGTTGTGCTGGAAGAGCAATGCAACACAAGGCTCCTGAGATGTGCGCATTCAGCAGCGTGTTGCTGCAGCTAAGCTGAAAGAGACATTGTCACCTTGGTCTTAATCCATGGACAATCCTGACTTTTGTCCAGTTGTCTCGGTGGTTTCAGGGTTTTGGGATCAATGACAAGAGTCACTTTCTCTTCCATGTCAAGCGCGTGTGATCCCTTTTGCCAAGGTTCTTGACGCATTTTTCAATCTACTCCCCTCAAGTGTGTGGAACCATTTGAGCGAACCATGTTAGTGGTCTATGGTTGGACATGGCCTACCCTGCACAACCAGGAGCCAACCCAGGTGAACCATTAATTGGTAACTAGTAAACAATGGCCCTGCGAGGGCAGGCTGTTCAGGCGCCTGTACCGTGCTCCAGCGACATGATGGCGAGACATCAACGACGTCCAGTGAGGTCAAAACTACAGCTCGACCATGTTTTCCCCGTACTTGGGTCTCCTAACTTGCAGGCGCCTTCTGATGAAGAAAAGGCAAAGGAGCTTCCTCTTCAAAACTCCCGGCCTTGATGGGGCCCAGGTTCCAAAGTAGGAATCGAGCAGAGTCGACCAGAAGCTTCTAAGAAGCCTTGGAGTGTGGGGGCCCTAATCCACTTCGCCCCACTTGGTAGTTGGCTTACCCCCCAGTATTTTCATCGGGTGTCATCCATCCCAGCTGGATTTTGTCCATTAGTTTTGTGTTTGTTTCCCCATTTGACAGGGTTTCCGGGGGACTAGGTGAGCGACACCCAACCCCCTCTGATTTGAGGCCAGTCCCAAAAAAGTCCTCGACTTTTGATCCAGAGCGCCGTGAGTCAGTTGCCTTCCAAGCCCTGCCCCCATCTCCACCAGAGCAAAGCATTCCCGTGAGCTGAGGGGTCCTGTGGCCTTCCCTGGGGTTGCTTCTCCTCACTCGCGAAAGGTCCATGCCACAATCAAAAGCTGAGCTGGGCAGGGCAAGGAGACTTTCCCCAGCAAAGATAGTTGCGGAGTTCCGCCCGAACTCGTATAGAACCACCCGGGTTTTGGAGTCCACCATTTTTTCTGGTGTAGTTTTTTCGTAACGCCAGGAGAAGCGTCGAGATGCGCTGCTCCAGTTGCGCTACGCTGAGGATGGGACTGTACCCCTCGCTTTTTGTGTTTCTCAAATAGCTGAAAGCTATGGGGGTTCTAACTAGTAAAGAAGGGAAAGTGATTTGCGAGATTGCCCGCTGGGTGCTAGGGAGCATGCAGTTTGGGGTGCTGGTGTAGGTGCTGTTTGGGGTGCCGTTTGAGCATTGTATTTGGATTGATGGCAGGGTGCTACAGTAGGGCATGCAGTTTGGGTGCTGGTGCAGGTGCTATTTTGGTGTGCAGGTGACAGTGCGGGCGCACTTTTGCAAGATTGACGGTAGGGTGCTGGGGAGCGTGCAGTCTGGGGTGCTGGCGAAGGTGCTGTTTTGGGATGGTGCTTGGGGTGCTGTTTGAGGCGTGGTACGGGTGCATATTTGCGAGATTGACGGCCGGGTGCTCTGGGAGTGATGTTCGGAGTGATGTTCGGGGTGATGGTGCGGATGGTTTTGGGGGACGGGCATGGCGTTTTGCGAGATTGGCGGCTGGTGCAGGTGCTGTTTTGGGGGGCCTGGTGACGGCCAGGTGTGTCTTTGCGAGATTGACGGTGTTTCGCTATCTGGGGTCTATGCTGGTGTAATTGTGTTTTTTCTTGCGGGCACCCAGTTGTGTGTGTGTGCGGTTTGTTGAGGACCCCTTTCCAGCTTGGTTCAAAGGGAAAGCCGAAGGAAAAACATCGTTTCGGGAGTTCCGATTCCCGATGTTTGAAACGTGCCCTGTTGCTCCGTGCTTTGTTCTTTCCTTCGCGGTGGGTTCACTTTTTCGACCAGGGTCGCTGGGCGACTGGGGGCCTTCTGCGGGCGTTGGGAGAAGTGCAGGATGAGTTTGAGGAGAAGTGGTCCTTGGGGCGGAACAACATGAACACTTCGAGACCCTACCACCAGGAAATTGGAGGTTTGTCCCACTATGTTCAGTGCCTTCGTCCATCCCAGGTGCCGTGGTTACTCCAAGTATTCAAGGGGTTTCGTCCATCCCAGGTGCAGGATTTCATCCATTGCATGGGTCGTGGATCTGTTTCCGCGGTTACCGGGCAGAAGGGCTCTCCCTTTTGGGTGGACGGGGGCAACAGAATTCCGATTGTGGCAGGCTAATGTATGGACGCAGGAGTCCAGGTGTCCAACCCCAGCCGTGTTTCCTATCAGAAGCAGCATCTTAAATGGATCGATCCCAAGAAACATAAAAGGGGAACCACCCTCAAAGTCGCTGTGTCAAACGTCACAAGCCCATGAAGTTCAAATCCAATGCTCTGGGTGAATTCTATCGACCTCACACGACCGAATTCACCCCAATTTTTGTGGTTTATGTGGTTGGAATAGCCCCCCAAGCACCGCAAGTTTCAGGTTGGTGGAATATTGTATAATTCACTCAGAATTCTTTCAAACCAACTACAGGATGTACAGGAACCCCCTGATGTTGGTAGGACTTTGGCGAGTTCCCGTAGAATCTCCTGTAGGAAACAAGAGAACAAAAACTCAGTTGTTCAAAGCCGACCTTTTGACCTTTTGGTTTTCCCATTTTGGCAACCATATTTCGTCATGGCCCCAAAAGGTGATCACCTTTTAGTTCCAGGTCCTTTGGGCAACTGAGAAAAGGAAAATAACAGAACCCATGATGTTGGCAGGAATTTGGCGAGTTCCTGTAGTTTTTTTTTGTAGGAAACAAGAGAACATTCAAAAAAAAGAAGCTCAGAAAGCTCCGCATCGAATCCTGGACAGGAGAGCCTCACCTCTGAGACCTGCCACGAGGCGATCCCGATCGGCGCGATCGATGCGCGGCGGCTTTTTTGGACGTGTGCGGCGGATGGCCCTCTGGGCGATGTGTTTCCCCCATGTTT